CCCTGTTATTTTTTTTTTATTTATTGTAGAGATGAGGTCTCACTACGTTGCTCAGCCTGTCTCGAACTCCTGAGCTCAGGCAATCCTCTCGCCTCAGCCTCCAAGTGCTGGGATCACAGGCATGAGACACCATGCCCGGCTGAGAATCTTATCAACTCTAAAACACTATCGATTGTAAACATCCCAGTATTTCACGTATCAATAAGATAAACATGCTGCCAACCACAACATGACACATTTTCTTAAAAACACAAATGTTGGCCAGGCTCAATGGCTCAACCTATAATCCCAGCACTCTGGGAGGCCGAGGCAAATGGATTACCTGACCCTGCGAGTTCGAGACCATCCTGGGCAACTTGGCGAGATCTCGTCTCTACAATAAAATAAAAAATTAGCCGGGCGTGATAGCGTGCACCTGTATCTCTGGCTACTTGGAAGGCTGAGATGGAAGGATTGCCTGAGCCTAGCAGGTCAACACTGGGGCTAGCAGGTCAACAGCAGGTGAACGTGCCACTGCACTCCAGCCTGGGCAACAAAATGAGACTCCGCCTCAAAAAAAAGAATACAAATGTTTACTTTATTGAAAGAGATGTTATAGACCTCCACATGGGTTTTTTAAAATCTTTTTTTAAAGGTTTAATTGATATACAATAAAGTGCGCACATATTTCAAGTGTATAGTTTGATAAGGTTTGACATCTGCATGCACCTGAAATCATCACCACAATCAAGGTCATGAACATATGCATCACCCTCAAAGTTTTCTCATGTTCCTTTGTCATCCTTCCATTCGATCCCCCCCACCTCTCTTCCATCCCTAAGCTGCTCTAATTTGCTTTCTGTCATATAGATTAGTTTACATTTTCTAGAATTTTAGATATATGGAATCATATAGTATACATTACTTTTAGTGTTCTTTCATTCATTAATAATTATTTTGAGGTTCATTCATGTTGTGTGTACCAATATTTCATTCATTTCAGGCTGAGCACAGTGGCTCATGCCTATAATCCTAGCACTTTGAGAGACTAAGGCAAGAGGACTGCTTGAGTCCAGGAGTTTGAGACCAGCCTGGGCAACACAGTGAGACCTCATTGCTACAAAAAAAAAAAATCAAAAAAATCATCTGGACATGGTGGTGTGTGCCTGTAGTCCCTGCTTCTTGAGAGGCTGAGGTGGAAGAATTACCTGAGCCCAGGAGGTCAGGCTTCAGTAAACCATGGTTGTGCCTCTGCATGCCAGCCTGGGTGACAGAATGAGACCGAGACCTTGGCTCAAAAAAAAATTTTTTTCCCATTCATTTTTATTACTGAGAAATATTCCATATGTAGATATACCACAATTTGTTTACCTATTTATCTACTATCATTGAGGTGTTTATAGCTTTTGCACTTACAAATAAAGCTGCTATGAATACATATAGATTTTTAAATCATATATCTCTCCTGTGCATACATAAAAAAGGAAAATGTAAGTAAAATGAATTGATCATTATTCTGAAAACTTTCTCACAGCCAAAATTCAGCTTTTTAAGTCACTTTTTGGCTTGTCGTTAATGTCTATTTTTTTTTTCCTCCACAGTGTCTCTTCTGTGCCATCAAGAGTGGTAATTTTTAAAATGTATAAAGAGAACTAAAAGCCATTGGTGCTAAGCACTTCGACTTACTCTTTGATTACATGGAGCTGTCCTAATCTGGACATTTCTTTGGGCTAAACATACCCGCATCACTCCCCCCCCCCAGGATTGTTTGCTTTCTAGGTTTTATTATTTTTAATTTTTATTTTATTTTTTTGAGTTGGAGTCTCACTTTGGTCCAGGCTGGAGGGCAGTGGCACACTCACCGCCACTGCAGCCTCAACCTGCTGGGCTCAGGAGATCCTTCCGCCTCAGTCTTCCAAGGAGTTGGAACTACAGGCATGTACCGCCAAACCTGACTAATTCTTTATTTATTGTAGAGATGAGGTCTCTCTAAATTGCCCAGGCTGGTCTCGAACCCGTGGGCTCAGGTAGTCCTCTCACCTCGGCCTCCCAAAGTGCTGGGATTATAGGCATGAGCCACCGCACCCGGCAAAATTTAATTATTATTATTTTTTTGAGTTGGAGTCTCACTCTATCACCCAGGCTGGAGGGCAGTGGCACGTTGAGGCCACCCCAGGCTTGACACGCTGGGCTCCGGAGATCCTTCCACCTCAGCCTTCCAAGTAGTCAGAACCACAGGCGTGCGCTATTACGCCTGGTTAATTTTTTAAATTTATTGTAGAGATAAGGTCTTGTCAGGTTGCCCAGGCTGGCTCAAACCCATGGGATCAGGCAGTCCACTTGCCTCAGCCTCCCAGAGTGCTAGGATTACAGGTTTGAGCCACCACATCTGGCCGCTTTCTAGGTTTTCAAAGAGCATTCCATAATTGTCCCAGAAACTTCTTTCTGAATCTTAGTCATTCATTCTGCTACTTTTGATGTTTATCCATCTGAATCCTTGATGTTCATTCTGCTACTTTTGATGTTTATCTATCCATTATATGGATACAGGCAATGACAGGTACATCCTAACTGCTACTGGGACAAAGTAATGATAGGAAACCATCAATTGTAGCACACCTCTCCATTTCAGAATATTAAATGTGGTAAATTGTGCATATTAGAATCCATTAAGTAGGGTAGTTTAACCAATTCATTTGATCAATAAGGGCCTGGCAGATGAGATCCTTATCTAGTATCACACAATAAATTGGTGGTAGCTGGGACCAGGACAAAGTGTTTCTCTAACTTTAGCAGGATATTTGTTTGTTTGTATGTTTTAAACTGGAATATAACAACTGAAGCTTAAAGAAGGAGGGCTAATGGAAAAGAAAAAGAATTATGTTGCATGTGAAAAGGATACCTAAATAGAATACTACTTGCCTGAACACTGAGCTGTTGAATTAAAAAGGGAAGGGAAGCATCATTCGAATAGCGCAGGTAGTGGCCTACCTGCGATCTCTTTCCATGCCAAATTATTCTTCATTCTCATCATTTGAGCTCATTATAAAAACTGGGTGTGCTCAGATCACTGCTTCACCATCCCCAACAGAATAAAGTCCAGGTTCCTTAGCAAGGCATGTGTGTAGGCCCATCGTAGATGTCCCATCCTTATCTTGAGTTCTTTCCTCTTCCTCCCTTCAGGAGTTGCCCTCTCTAGTCACACCACCTATTATTCCACCAACATATCATGTACTTTTCATGTACTTTCTTATCCTGTGCCTCTTGGTTTTTGCTGTTCTCTTTTCGTAGAATGATCCTTGCCTGCCCATATCTACCTTATGACCTCTTCCTTCAAGGTTCAAATGCAACCTCTTTTTTTACGTGGTTCCGCCTCTAACCAACCCCTTTACTCAGTGATCATTTCCTCATGTGTTTTAAAACCTACTTTATACGTTACTTCTAACACTTGTGATATTATTACTGTTTGTGTGTATCTCACTAAACGAGGATCTTCTTGGGAGAAGGGGTCATATTTTGTTTATCTTTCTATTCCTGTTTTCTAGAATTGTGCCTGACAAACAGTAGGTACATGAGAGGGGACTTAAAAAAACAGAATTATCTTTTGGAGTGTAGGCCCCCTGTAGTGGAGGCTTCCCCAACTAGGTCAGTGTTCTAGGAACCCGTCACCCTCAGTGTACCAGTAGTGTTGTTGTGAGAGACTGCATTCAGCTTCAGTGAATTTTTTTTTTAGATTCTTTCGATGCATTTGCCCATTTCACGATGAGTGATTTACGAACACACCTGCACACACCGCATTGAGTGTTCAGGAATTTTTGACCAAAAATGGCATGACCCGCTTGCCCCACCCTCCCTCTTCATCCAGTTTCGCCCCAACTGACTTGTTTTGTTTCCTGGATCAGAAGAGGCTTCAAAGGGAAACATTTTGCCAATGTGGAAGAGGTGAAATGAAAAACAACAGAAGCACTTAGAAGCCATCAAAATTGACAAGTTCAAAAACTGTTCTGAGTAGTGGAAAAAGCATCTCGATAGGTGTATTGCATCAAACAGAGAGCACTTTGAAGGTGACTGAACCTTAAACATGTAAGAATAAATACACAATTTTTTATAAATAAATTCCGGTTTTTGAGGGGATCCTCCCTCCTATAGCAAATATTTATTTGCCTTCAAAGATCTGATGGATGCTAATAGCTCCTAAGGAGAAACAATCAGTTAAGCACATTACTATTATCTTTCTGGGAAGGATCTGTAAAATCTGCTGCAAGGAGAAAGGGATTGTGTACAAATTTAATTTTGGGTAAAAGTTTAGGAGTAAGTTATAAAAGATGGGGGTTGCAAGGAGAATGGTCTAGAAGTATAAATAAAGAAGAATTGGGGATAATGGCTAAAGAAAGTAAAAGGAAATGGAACTAGAAATAGGAATGGAAGATAAAGAAAGGAGAGAAGTAGAGAGAGTGATTATGTGGCCAGGACTTTAGAATCTCACTTTGTTTAATTGCAGGACAGTTACTCAACAATGCTTTCTCACATAGACCTTCCAAACTCTTTCCTGAATGAATCCCATTTTGTATTCTTCACATGGCTCTCTCCCTGAAAAGACACAAGTGTGCTTCTTACAACTGCTTCACAAGTAGTGCATTGTTCTTCAGTGTTTTTCTATGGAGAGCTGGGAAGGCCGAGTAGTAAGATGGAAAAGCACACACTATTCTGGGAATCAAAAGGCCAGATTCACACATCACAGCTCTGTGACCTGGAGCGAGACATTTGGCCACCTTCACCTCAGAATCATCATCTGTAAAATGGGAATGATGCTATCTGTGCAGGCTACCTCACAGGATGGTTGTAAATATCAAAATAAATGAAATAATATATATGAAAACACTTTGGGGCTGTTAGGTTGCTCTGCAAATGAAGGCAATTATTAGTTGAATTATTCATTCAATACAGTAAGTAGACTCCTGTTAATAAGCCCTGTTTACAGAAAGAAGATCACAGTGGTTTGTTTGTTTGTTTAGTAATAGTACTCTGAAGTCTCGGGAAGCTGGACCATTTAATGTGCACGGCCCATGAGAAAGGTATATAAGGAGCCATGGCACTCCCCTTTCAAAAAGAACTGGAGAAATACAAGAACATTGATGAAGATGAGCTTCTTGGCAAACTCTCAGAAGAGGAACTGAAGCAGTTGGAAAATGTGCTAGATGACCTAGATCCTGAGGTTAGTGACATGGAATTAAAGAAGAGTGGTTAATGATAGTATGGGGTAAATGGTGTGACTTGGTCCTTTAATAGTAGAGATCCCTTAACTCCAAATGCACATTTTCTGTTCTTCCCCTGTTTGGTTCTAGGAGAGGACCTCATAGCCACTACAGTTTGATGTGCCAAATGTATTTCTCAAAAACCAGTTTAGTGTAAATGGGGGGAAATATCTTCATTGGTTGAGGAAGGACTAGTCCGATTTAGGGAAAAAAAGAGGGAAAGAGAACAAGTCTTACTGAGTTTTTTTCTATGAGTCATACACTTCACTGAGCATAGAAGCCCTTAAGATTGTATTATCCCCATTTCACAAATGAGGAGACAGACTTGGATGGGTAATTTATATAGGATTCCATACCGGTCAGAGATGGCATTTAAACCAGGTCTTTAATCCCAAATGCAGATTTTTTTAAAAACCTCTTCTCTTTCAAATGCATAAGTAACTTGAAGTCTTTGCTGAGTCTACAATGGGTAGATTAAAACAACTATGATAATATCAAGTAAATTTAAATGGAGTTTATAATATTTTTATGAGTTCTTAGAAATCTAAAAGCTTGGTACATTGTTTGTTTAGCCCTGATGGTATTTTCTTAAACTTAGAATTAGAAGATCCCAAATAGAGATTTTACTATAAATAAAAATGTAACTAAAACAAAATTATGTATATAATATTCCAATATGTCAGGACTTTTGATAGTATATTTACTTAAATTTTTCAAATGGTTTACTGCTTGTTCCTTTTTTTTTTTTTTTTTTTTTTTTAGTCAGAGTCTCACTCTGTCACCCAGGCTGGAGTGCAGTGCCACGCTCACAGCCACCATAACCTCAACTTGCTGAGTTCAGATGATCTTTCTGCCTCAGCCTTCTAAGTAGCTGGAACTATAGGCATGCACCACCAAGCCTGGCTAAAGTATATCTACTTTAAAAAATGTTAAGTAGTCTGCCTTTACTGTTTTTAAACTTAAGGAAGGAATCTCAAAGCTTACTCAAGCAGGTATTAGCATCTACCATAATATTTACTTATCTACTTGGACATTTCTGCAGGAGAGGGGTTAGCCCTGTTGCCTCCTTGCTAGAATTTCCATGCTCCTGCCTGGGAATGCCTTGGGCATAGACCTAGCCAAGCCTAAGTGTGAGCTACAAGAGGCCCTTTGCCACCATGTGCTAGAAAGTGGCTGCAGTAGACTCAGAGTCTGCTTCAGCTGTCTATGCTCTACTAGAACTTGTGGGGAGCCCTTCTCCCAGCACAAGATATTAGAACAAGTAGGGCCTTGGAGAAGTCCTAGAGACCCCAGCCCTCAGCTCACACCCACATTCTGCATAAATGTCCCTCTTGCTTCTGCCACATGAAGTGAGTGGGGGGTAGGGAGGAAAAAAACAAAGGATCAGCTTAGCAGACACGTTTCTTTCCTGCTTACACCTCTGTCTTGTCAGAGTGCAATGCTGCCAGCTGGCTTCCGACAGAAAGACCAGACACAGAAAGCAGCCACCGGCCCATTTGACCGTGAGCACCTCCTCATGTACCTGGAGAAGGAGGCTTTGGAACAGAAAGACAGAGAGGACTTTGTGCCCTTCACTGGAGAAAAGAAAGGTAAGGACCAGAGGCCACACATCTTGGGATAAAGATTATCTGAATATATTGTAGTGGAGGGCCAAGTGAGGGAACAGCCCTGGAGATGGAAAATAAGCCTGTGAACTGGATTCAGTATTAAAAAGAATCATGGCTTCTGGTCACATTTCATTGTTTGTTTGCCCAAACCCATAGAATGTGTGACACCAAGAGTGAACCTTTCTTTTTTTTTTTTTGTCGGAGTCTTACTCTGTCATCCAGGCTAGAGTGCAGTGGCATGCTCATGGCCATCGCAACCTTGACCTGCTGGGCTCAGGTGATCCTTCCACCTCAGCTTCCCAAGTAGCTGGAACCACAGGCACATGCCACCACACCCAGCTAATTTTTTTATTTACTGTAGAGATGAGGTCTTGCCAGGTTGTCCAGGCTGGCCTCAAATACCTAGACTCAGGCAGTCCTCTCGCCTCCGCCTCCCAAAGTGCTGGAGTTACAGGTGTGAGCCACCACGCCTGGCCAAGAGTGAACCTTAAAGTGAAGTATGGGCTTTGGGTGATAATGATGTGTCAATGTAGATTCATCAGTTGTAACAGATGTGCCTCTGTGGTATGGGATGTCATTAGGAGAGGCTGTATGTGGTAGGAGGCAGGGGCTATATAAGAACTTTCTGTACTTTCTGCTTAATTTTGCTGGGAACCTAATACCTGCTCTAAGAAATAAAGTTCCATTTAAAAGAAAAGAGAATTATGACAGAATACATAGGCTAATTAAATGAATACTTGGCGGGGGTGGTCTTTAAATTAGTTCACTGAAAAAAAAAATCTCGAACTCCAAAGACAAAGTTTTGAAAACATGAAACAGTGTCATGTCTGAACTGTGGTTTGTTTCTTTTAACCCTGTGTTTTACCAACTGCAGAAGTCCCTCAAGGCCTTTATATTCCATGTCCAGGATTACTCTAATGCTATACCCCTAACCTTAGAGGCTATCATTAACACCAGTGCAGTCAATCATTCATTCTTCCATCATCCTTTGAGCACCTCCTCTGTGCAGAGCCTTGTACCAGGCGCTGGGGACCACAGGTTAATAAGACCCTGTCCTGCCTTCACAGAGATTGTAGCCTAGTGAGAGAATCACAGTGATAAGAGCTGGGAAGGCTGTAAGAAGCAAGGGAATGTTTCTCCATGCCAGGTGTGAGCTCCCAGCCAAGAAAAGGAAACCCTCCTCCCCAGTTCCTAACCCTGAGCACCCTTGATTGGAAGAGTGGGTATCACTCAGTTTCCTCAGCTGTAGACAGTGACTTGGTTTCATAGGTAGATACTAATGGAATCATTATAACCTCGTGGCAAATACAGCCTTTTAAAAATACAAATCAGATCATGTCACTTCCCTGCTTTAAATCCCAAATCCTTACCATTGCCTTTGAAGTAGACCTAGCCTCCGCCTACCCCTCTGACTGCCTTTCTCATTCCCTTGCTAAGCCTCAGCCCCACTGTCTTTGTTCACTTCCCCAAACCCCTCTCCTGTCTCAGGCTGGTCCTCTCATGGACTCTTCCTTCTGGCCCACATCCCTAGTGTTCACCTCCTAGGAGTCTCAGCTCAAATATCAGGGCTTCAGACTTTCCCTGGCCTTTCCATTGAAAACAGGCCCATCTTTCTATCATGACATCTGCTTATTGCTTTCACAGCACTGTGGCAGTGTTCATCACTTTGCTCATTTACTTTGTTTTTTGCATGTTTTCCACATCAGAGTGAGATTTCCACAGTGGGACTGAGTCTTTTCTGTATCCTGGCACAGAAACTGGCACAGGAGGTACTCGAGATCTGTGGGTTCGAATGAATGCCATTTCTGAACTTCTGTACCATGGCAGAGGGAAGCAGGAGCACCCAGCTCCTGAACTGGCATGAGCCAGAGTGCTGCTACCTTCTCTCACATAACATCCTGACTGTCCTCTGTGCTGTGCACAGTCGATAGCTCACACACCACTGAGAATGTCATTAGAAAGTACAACTGAGCAGTGACAATAACCAAGGATTACTGTGGAAATATGGAACTGTTTCTATGGCAGCGTAGTTGCCATTGGACTGATTCAATTGTGAAAAAAATTATAATGTCAAGTCTTCAATAAAATTCCAATTAACATCAAATAGTGACAGCTTAATAAAGGGAAACTGTTGTCTTTTGTTCTCAGAGCAGAGGTCTGAGAAGCAGCTATGGCAAATTATCTCTTGATCCAGATTAATCTCCAGATGGTTCTGGGGGAGTTGTCAATGCGGGAGATGTCTGAGTAATAAATAGAGATATAAAAGGGGTATACGGTTGCACCATGTAGTTTAGGAGAAGGTTGAGAAGTAGCACAGTTGAATAAAATGAGCAGGGAGCAAGTCTTCCAATGAGAGCAGCAGGATCAGAGAAAGGACAGGATTCTAGAAGCACCAACAAGAGGCTTTGGAGCAGTGGGAGGCTATTGTGAGGGCCTCAGGAGAGAGACTGCACAACCTCAGTTCTGAATGCTATGTGCCGGGATGCCTCAGCTTCCTGAACTAGATTTAACTCTTTGGTACAGCATTTTTTTTTTTTTGAGTTGAAGTCTCACTCTGTTGCCCAAGCTGGAGGCTAGAGTACAGTGGCATTCTCATGGCTTACCACAGCCTTGACCTCTAGGGCTCAGGTGATCCTTCCACCTCATCCTCCTAAGTAGAGGGCACCATCATGCCATGGTTTGTTTGTTTTTTTTTTTTGGTAGCAAGAAGGTCTTGCTGTGTTGCTTAGGCTGGTCTCAAATTCCTAGCCTCTAGCAGTCCTGTCTCCTTAGCCTCCCAAAGTGCTAAGATTACAGGTGTAAGCTAGGATTACTGCCGCTCCTGACAGGTTTTTTTTTTTTTTTTTTTTTTTTTTGGCTTACACCTAATTATTTGGTTGGTTCCCTCAGAATTAGATCTGCTTGCATCAAGAGTTGTCCTGAATACTGATGGCTGTTGGACCACCTATATACCTTGTGTTTAGGGTAATCTTCAACAGTACCAGTAAGGAGGAACTTAGAATTCCCATTTTGACTCTAGACCCAAGGTCATCTCAGCCAGAAAGAAAATGTTTCTGGCTGCAGATACCATGAAAGTTAAGTCTGAGATGAGCTCTAGTGTCTGAGGTGACACTGATGGGTTGATTTTTTTTTTTTTTTTCTTTTTCATTTTCTGTCTCTGGCTATCCTCCTACTTTGTTTCCCAGTATACTTTCCTTCTTTCTGGGAAATGTGGCAGCTCATGTGATGCCAAGACAGGAAGTAGGGTGTGTGTCAGTGATAGAGACCTTGTTGCCAGGATGTCCCAGACTGACCACAGGCGGTGTTCTTCTTTCCCCTCTTTGGAATGCCTAGCTCTGACTAGTTTCCATTTACTTATCTAATCATTTGACAAGGTAAACCATCAGGAAATATTCAACCCTTGTGATCAGGGAAGCCTCCTAAGGAGTTTTCATGAGGGAGGGATGTTGACTTTGGGTTTGAGCCTCTCCTTTCCCGTAGGAGTGGGGGTAGGTCAGCCTAGCCAAGGAGACCTGGAGAGAGCTTAGGTTCCAGTTGACTGAAGCTGGATCCAGCTGTCTGTCCTACCCAGGGTGACAAAGAGGAGACAATAGTGGGATGATATTTTAGAGAACTCTGAAGATCAAAGTGGAGGAGACCAATTTCAAAAATCATGCCCAAGAGGTAAGAGTACCTCTGAAAACAGGAAACCAAGAGTCAAAAGCCAGGAAGAATTGGAAAAGAATGTGACTGGTCTGAGGTGTACCTTTCTTTCTTAGCCATTGCACATGTAGAACGTGAACATTTTGGCCTGACTGTAAGTTGGGAGCAGGAACTATGCTCTCCTCCAAACTATGTGATTCATTATTCTAGAACTTTGGGTTGGGAGGTAGGGCATAGATAATAGCAATTTCAGGAATGAGTAGGGGGCAAAATAAATGAAATCTGACTGACAGGATGAAGTGAGAGGTGGTGGAGAGGATGCATCTATGGGAAGCACAGAATGCCTTGCTACTCACAGACCCCCACAATCTCCAAGTATGGTGACCCTGATTTTCTTTAAAATCAGACCTGCTTTGGGGTACTCTAGAGAGGTGGCTGGGTTCCCAGGTCACTACACTAGTCCTGCTGATCCCAGCTATACCATGCTAGTGGTCTATAATCAGTTTAAGGTGGAAAACTCTAGAGAATCACCAGTTTGTCCCTCAGAAACCCCTGGTGCTGTTTGGATGAACCTGCCTACAATAGGTGCAGAGCCCAAGGCAAGAACACAAATAGAAGCCCACGTGCCATTTTCCTAAATATTTCAAGGCTAACAAATGATTTAAAAATGTTGTATCCTCCTACAAAATATACTACGATGCCAGTATTCTTGGATTTCTTAGGATTCCATGCGGGGATGTTGGTCAGTCCATCTCACACTGCCAGGGCCTCAGGCACACATGTTGGATACCCAGGCCTATATATTCAAGCTTCATCCTTGTTTCCAAACAAATAGCCTCCTTTTGGCCTGGGGATACACACCCCAGCAGTGTGACCTGCCTCAGGAAGATGAACATGGGAGAGGACTCATGCAGGCCCTGGAAGCAGGTTCGGGACCTTTAGGCAGGGAATTCCAGGTTCCCACATCCCTGGAGTGTGGTCTAGCAGGCTGCCTGTATGTTGGATGGAACTATCCCAAATATCCCTTTGCCCCATGGCTACTCAGCAGGGAGAGATGTGGCCAGAGGAAGACCAGAGTCTCGGAGCCCTCTCAAGCGCAGGACCCAGGGCCCTGGCCTAAGGGCAGTGCTGCTGATAGTAGGGAGGTAGACACCACTGTTTCCCTCAGTGTTTAGAGACTATATATAGTCTAAGATCTCTGTGTGGCAGAATGCAGGATTCCTCTTCCAATGTGCTTTCCCTCTAATAGTAGATTATTGTTGTTGGTACCATTCTAGCAGTTCAGGAATCGCAGTTTGATACTTTGATCCTTAATGGCTTAAGGATATGAGTCTTTTTTTTTTTGAGTCAGAGTCTCACTGTCGCCCAGACTGGAGTACACTGGCATGCTTACGGCACCACAGCCTCTACCTGCTGGGCTCAGGTGATCCTTCTACCTCAGCCTTCAGAGTAGTTAGAACTACAGGTGCATGCCAACACGCCCAGCTAATTTTTTTATTTATTGTGTAGACAAGGTCTCACCAAGTTACCCAGGTGGACCTTGGACCCTGGAATCAGGCAATCCTCTCGCCTCTGCCTCCCAAAGTGCTGGGATTACTGGTGTGAGCCACCGCACCTGGCCAGGATATGAGTCTTTTTGTTGTTGTTGTTTAAGTTGAACTCTCACTCTGTCGCCCAGGCTGGAGTGCAGTGGCATACTCATGGCCACCCCGGCATCAACCTGCTGGGCTCTGGCAATCCTTCCCCCTCAGAACTTCCAAGTAGCCGGAACTACAGATGCATGCTACTATGCCTGGCTAATTTTTTATTTATTGTAGAGACGAGGTCTCACCAAGTTGCCCGGGCTGGTCATGAATCCGCGGGCTCAGGCAATCCACTTGCCTCGGCCTCCCAAAGTGCTGGGGTTATAGGTATGAGCCACCGCATCTGACCAGGATATGAGTCTTAATGGCCAGAATTGCATTCTCTGCTCAGTCCACTGACCCTTCCAATAAGACGGTAGCACAGAATATTTTTTTGTTTTTCTTCTGATTTAAAGGGAGAGTTTTCATCCCCAAAGAAAAGCCTGTAGAAACTCGTAAAGAAGAAAAAGTGACCCTTGACCCGGAACTGGAAGAAGCTTTGGCCAGCGCCTCTGACACTGAACTCTATGATCTTGCAGGTTAGTCCTCAGCTCTGGAAACTATCTGTCTGACTCTGTGACCTCCAGCATGCACTGGTACCCATGGTAGCAGCCTCTGAGCTTCTCTATAGTTATTGATTATGCTTGTGATAGCAGGCATAACGTAGCTATAAGACTCAATGCAGGTGACTTACCTCTCTGAGCAATTCTTATTTTGTCCTATCTCAGGTGTAAAGTGCCCAAATAATACCCATCCTACAAAACTCAGCACCAGGTTGATATTAAGTCCTTAAATATATATATATATATATATATATATATATAAAATATACCAGTATATTTGTGAGGAGTCAAAAAGAATAAATATAAAGGATTTAAAGGACAGGGCACTTGACAACACAAAGGGTACTGGGGTCATTACCAAGGAGAGTGAGGGCCAGTTAGAAGCCCAAGCTTCACCTGCATGCAGCCTACTTATATAGTTAATCCTCATTTGCACCCCCATTCCTATAATAAAATAAACATTTTTTTTAAAGGATTTCAAGAATAAAACAATGGTCCTTATGCTTTCTAAAGAATTTAATATTTGGCATTTTTTCACATTTTATCATCACAAAACTTCCATGAACTTCTTGCTCTTTTTTTGTGGGGGGAAGGCATACATGTTTATTAATGTGTGCACAGGAAGAAGCACAGAGTGATCACCCCAAAGCCCTTGCTTTTTCTCACTGTCACTATTTCATTTTTATTCAGAAAATACTAAGGGGTCTGTTTGTCTTTTAGCTTTATTAACAATAACAACAGATAGTGATAATAATAATTGTTATTATTTTAATTGATTTTACCTGCAGATAGAAAAAACTCAAATAGTACAAAAGAATATGTGATGAAAAGTAAGTCTCTTACCCTATTTACGAAGCCCCACTCCCATTTCTTGTATAGCCTTCAAGAAAGATTCTCTGCATATACTAATACCAATATATTTGTGCGTTAAATCTCCCCCTCCTGCTGTCCCCATGCATATCCAGGGCTGTTAGATCACCACAGAATAGAGATGCTTCAAAAACTAGTCAACCACCAGCCTGAGCAACATGGCAAGGTCTTGCCTCTACAAAAAATAAATAAAAATTAGCTGGGCATAGTGGCACATGCCTGTGTTTCCAGCTGCTTGGAAAGCTGAGATGGAAGTATCACCTGAGTCTAGCAAGTCAAGGATGCAGTGGCCATGAGTGTGCCATGGCACTCCAGCCTGGGTGACAGAGTGAGACTCTGACTCAAAAACAAACAAACAAGCAAACAAAAATAGTCAATAACCTTAGCAAGAATTCTCATTTCATTGAAAGGCATATATAATAACAATCTCCTTCCTCTCAGAAGAGCCAGCTATGCCTTATTCTAATACATGCCAACCATCTCAGCTACATTTCCATTCCTTCTGTTTCAGTGGTTGATATTAAGTTCACATCTTTGAACCTCTCTCAGAGGTCACTGCAGGAATTGCGGCACCTGTATCACCTGGTGAAGAAGGTGCTTTGCACTGACTGATCATCGTAGCCCTATGGTTACTGTAGAGGATCCAGTCATGGTTACAACTTCTCCCAAGGGCTGCCTCGTGGTCTCTACTGGAATTGCCCAAAGGGAAAATGCAGGACTGAACTTGAATTTCCAGGAAGTGCACTGAGAAAGGAAAAAGAGAAAAACACCAATTATTCACAAGATACTAGATCCTGAAATTCATACAGTAAAACCAGGAAAAATAGTCCAATAAAAAACGGCCCTCTTTCATCCCTACTCAGCTTCCCGCCCTCGTCACTCAAGAGGAAACCTGGTTGGGGGTGAATGTGAGCATCTCTTCTGGGGTTATCTTTCTGGAAGATTGAGAGCAGCCCCGTGAGTAGGTAGGCTGGCAGCCATTGAGGTTTAAGAATTTAAGAGATAAGAATCAGTTCCTTGCCAATATTATTGTGGCAGATGGAGAGCAGACAGGCAGTTCATCAAGGGAATGGCAGTTGACCTCTAAGATGGTACCTCCCAGACTGGCTAGATGTGACTGTGTCACCATCCAGAGTCTAGTCTTAGCACTGTTGGTCTAGAAATTTGATCTTATCAATATTCATAGAAGCATTCAGATTGGAGCAGAATGGTGGGGACTGTGCTGGCCAGAGTCACAAACAACAGAAAAAAAAAAAAAAGGAAAACTTGGCAAGGGGAACCAAATTATAATTAGAAGTTTCTTGGTGACCAGAAATAACCAGAACAATCCTTAGCAAAAGAAACAAAACAGAAAGTATCATACTTCCACACTTCAAGACTATAATAATCAAAACAACCCGGTAGTGGTACAAGAACAGATATTTGGACCAATGGAACAGGATAGAGATTCTGGAAGCAAAAACTCCTCAATTTTTCAACCAACTCATCTTTGACAAAGCCTCCAACAACAACCACTGGGGAGAGGAGAACCTATTTAGTAAATGGTGTTGAGAACACTGGCTGACCACATGCAGAAGAGTGAAACAGGACCCCTACCTATCACCATACACAAAAATCACCTCTGAATGGGTTAAAGACCTAAACATAAAAACCTCAGACTAAGCCAGGCTTGGTGGCTCAGCCTGTAATCCCGCCCTTTGGGAGGCTGAGGTGAGTGGATTGCCTGAGCCTGCGGGTTCGAGACCCACCTGGGCAACTTGGTGAGACCTCATCTCTACAATAAATCAAAAATTAGCCAGGCGTGGTAGCGCGCACCTGTAGTTCCAGCTACTTGGAAGACTGAGGCGGAAGGATTGCTGGAGCCCACCAGGTCGAGGCTGCGGTGGCCAGGAGCAGCCACTGCACTCCAGTCTGGGCGACAGAGTGAGACTCCAACTCCAAAAAAAAAAAACAAACCTCAAACTATAAGAACTTTAGAAAACACAGGAGACACCCTTATATAAATTCGAACTGGCAACCAATTCCTGATCAAAACCCCAAGTGCCCATGCCATTAGAGATAAGATAGACAAATGGGACCTCATCAAACTGACAAGCTTCTGCAAAGCAAAAGAAACCATCAAGAGAGTGGGGAGACAGCCCACAGAATGGGAAAGAATATTTGTTAACTGTATATCTGACAAAGGCCTAACATCCAGGATCTATAAGGAACTCAAACATGCTGAAAGAAAAAGAACAAACAGCCTTATTAAAAAGTGGACGAAAGACATGAATAGACACTTCTCAAAAGAAGAGATACGGGCAACCAACAGACACATGAAAAAGTGCTCAGCCTCACTAGTCATTAGAGAAATGCAAATCAGAACCACATTGAGATACCACCTAACCCCAGTAAGAATGGCCATCATTAATAAAACTATTAACAACAGATGCTGGCGAGGATATAGAGAAAAAGGAAAGCTTCTACACTGCTGGTGGGGATGCAAACTAGTGCAGCCTCTTTGGAAAACAGTGTGGCTATTTCTGAAAGAACTAGAAATTGACCTTCCATATGACCCCGCAATAATCTCTCTACTGGGAATATACCCAGAGGAACTCAGATCATTCTACAAAAAAGATACCTGCACACGCATGTTTATTGCAGCACTATTCACAATAGCAAAAACATGGAACCAGTGGTTGAAACTGGACTGGATAAAATGTGGTACATATACCCAATGGAATATTATGCAGCCATAAAGAAGGGCAAACATAGGACTTCACAGCAACTTGAATGGTTTTAGAGTCTATTATACTCAGTGATCTATCACAGAAACAAAGAACAGAGGACCATATGTTCTCACTTATAAGCGGACCTTGAACAATTATCATAATACTATAAGAAAGAGATTGTCTTGCCTGAGCCCGCGGGTTTGAGACCCGCCTGGGCAACTTGGCGAGACCTCATCTCTACAATAAATCAAAAATTAGCTGGGCATGGTAGTGCGTGCCTGTAGTTCCAGCTACTTGGAAGACTGAGGCGGAAGGACCGCTGGAGCCCAGCAGGTCGAGGCTGCGGTGAC